GAATTGTTCAAATTTGTGCATTTGGGTGCAAACGTGCAGGAGTGTGTCCAGGTGGTGCCTGCGTGTGGGTGGGTCCTGTGTGAGCCAGAGTGTGTATGTGTGTGTGTGTATGTGTGTGTGTGTGTGAGAGAGGATCTTCACATGTGGACCGCTGTGACTCGTCGCAGGATGCTCGCCGGCTCTGCGCTCGCGCCCTCGGCTGCGTGCTTACCGCCGAGATCTCGCTGCTCCAAAACACACATCTGCATCGCTTACAGATCAAAATGTTTGGGTTTTTTTTCCCCTTCTTTCTAGCACACACACACACACTCACTCACACACACACACACACACTCCGATACAACCTGCCGGACTGGCTTTCTACTTTCCTATATGTAGCTGCCGCTCGGAGACGAGAGGGAGACGGAGAGAGAAGCGGGGCTGAAGGACGCTGGTGCTTTCGCTGAAAAGGTATGTGTGTCTGGCTTTATATTGGTGCAGTTCACTGCTTTTCTTTTCAACCCCGATTGTGTGTAGGTCAAAGTGTGTGTGTGTGTGTGTGTCTGAATAGGATTAGTGAAGGGCAGAGCAGCAGTCACTTTCCTGTACTGTGCTCTAACAGAAGCTAAAGAGTACTTAAAAACAATTAGCAACATCACATCCATGCATTACCAACTTCAACGCCGTCACAAAGCACTGCCGCCGTCCCACAAGTACATGCCCCGCCAGAAAACTTAAAAAAAATAACAGAATGACCTACCTTTTTAAACAATGAGTGAGAAATCCACTCTGCTCCGTTAGAAGCATTTGAAGAAGTTATTCTCAGGAACCTGACGGCATGACTGTGTGTCAAAAAAAAATGAGGAGACAGGAAAGGGAAAAAAGCCACGCCGCAGAAAATAGGATGAAAAGTGGAAAAAAAAAAAAACGTAGAGAGGAACTAGCTGGCGCTTACTGTCAAAGACATCACCAGAGAAGTATTTACAGCGGTATTTACAGTAAGTGCGAGGGGAGAGCACCTCTGCCTGGTCACGTCTGAAAGACAGTTTGCCGTTTCAGCGCTGCCTAATTAAAACAAGTCAGGCAGCCCCGCTGGATTGTTTTGACGCCTGAGGACCAATAGTACACAAAAACCAGTGGCTTGATCNACCGTGTGAAGAGGCAACACTATTTGTGTCATCACTTCAGCCCTGTTTGTGTGGTGGTGTGTGTGTGTGTGGGGGGGGGGGGGGGGGGGGGGGGGAGATAGCATCATAAACAAGCCTCCCCCCCACCTTTTTTTCTTTTTTTTTTGTGAACCACCAACACCACCTCCTTGCCACCTGCCATCCCAGCCCCTGCCCCCGCCCCAGTTTCCCTCCTGCTCCCTCTCTTTCCTCCTCCTCTCGCCACCTCACTGTGCCATTCATGCATACTTTAATCACCCTTGCCCTATTAAAAGAAAAAAAAAAGACTTATTTTTGACAATTATTCTATCATTTCCAGTTGTCACGGGGGCAATTACCAGATGGGGGGCAGCCCGGGATAGGTCGGACATGCAGGCCTGAATGAGGAGGCTGCAGTTGGTAGAGGAGGAACAGGGTAGGAGAGGGGCAGCAGAGGATGTGTGTGTGTGGGGTGGGGGGGATTCTGGAGGAATCTGAAAGGGGAGGGAGACTACAAAGGTTGAGAACGGCACGGGGAGACCACCACACGCCGAGCGCGCGCAGTTTCCCCTTAAACAACACGCTGAAGTGACGCTCGAGACCTCTTTGTCGCCAACGTATCCCCGCAGTCCACGTTTGAAATGCTTTTTGTCATCAAGAATATAAAGTGAAAAACTTTTGCCACGACAATTTTAAAAAGTCTCTTCAAAAAAATATGTTTTGTTTATCATTTAAAACTATTCAGACATTTATCCGGGCTCAGATGGGACGTATTGACAACTGTGAACAACGCACAACAAGCAATGAGATGGAACAAATGGTATTTGCCAATCCTTTTTGTCAATTTATATTATTCCCCTCCTCTTTTCCCCCCTCTCTCTCTCTCCCCCTCTTGCATGCCACAGATGTTTTTCTTAGACGCTCCAACAGACAGGAATCTACTGGCAAGAAGAAAGCTCTGGTCTTCCCCATGAGAGAGGAGTACAAAGCCCCCAGTCTGCACACAGCAGATGTGGAAAGCTAGTCCATCTGCCACCAGCTTGCCGAGCCACTTGAGCCTGAGAGATTTAATACGAGCGGGGACGTTTATTTCGTTATTTGCCTAAAAAGGTTGGTGTCATACACATAGAATAAACATTTAAATTAATCTGAGAATGAAATTTAATTAGTTTCACCCAAGACATGCTTATATTAGGAGCCATGTTTTTTTTAATAGATTTAGGAAAAAAACTGTAGCCCCTAACGAGGGGTAAAGACCACTTGAACTCCCAGCTCTGAGCGGTGCACTGGTACGATTTAACAGGCTCTGAATGGCACATTATCTCCGCGGCTCCGTTGAAGCATATTTCAGCCGTATGATATTATTATTAAGAGACACAACGCAGACCGAAAGATGTAGCGTCTTCATTAGTGTCAACTTGTCTGAGCTCTGAGGCGGAGGAGGGATAAACACTAAACAACTGTGGCAGAGTGAAAGAGTCAGGGAGAGTTGAAGCGAGTGTGAGGAGGAAAGAAGGAGAGAGAAAAAAAAGAAACGAGAGATGACAAGAGTGTAAAAAGCAAGCAGGAGAGGGAAATGAGACAGCAACGCAGAGAGTCAAAAGGGGCCAACATTAAACAACTGCTGTTAATTGCTCTAAGCATTCACATTATTCCAGTAATTTCTCCCATTTCTCTTTCAGCACTGACGACTCACAGTCTAATAAACTCAGAGCGCCTCACTGGAAAAGACAAACAAGAACACACACACCACCCCCACCCCCAGCTTTAGAAACATTTACTTCCTTATGTAGGGGGGACGCTGTGCCCACTTCTTCACGTTGTGACAACTGTGAGCCTTCTCCCCTCAGGCGTTCGGTCCCTATTCATCCCTTCTTTCTGTGATTTTCTCCTGCCAAGGTCAACGGATGCAAGTGGGCCCACCAGCGTCTTGATGAAGTGGCAGCAGGAAGTAGGGGGAGAAAGACAGGCAGGCAGTGGGTACAGTGAAGGAGGGGGGCGCAGCAGCTGGTTACTAACGTTGGTGGGAGCAGTGGGGGAGCGGTGGATCCGAGATGCAGCGCCATGACAACAGCAAACGTCGCTTCCCCACCGCAAAATTTCCAGCTATTTATTCACACACATTCTGCTACAACTGTTACTATTAACTAGTAATGTTTAGCCGAAGCTACAAAGTGTGGAGACATAAAGCTAAGCAAAAAAGAAAGGTGCAAAGACATTTAGGATTTGATAAAAGTTTAACAAACTGATAAAAATATTATTTTTGTTATTATTATTGGAGGTTATCCTGCATTTGAGCTCCTCAGCCCAAACCAAACGATGTCACAACCTTCCCTTTTATGAGCAAAAAACAAGGTTTACAAAGAGCCAAACATCCCACGTAAATAAAACGCACACACCACCACCATTCATTATTTCACCACTCAAACGTTCCACAAGCACAATCCATAATCCACAAAGTCCGGCCTACAAATAATAACAAGCCAAACAAGACATAATGGCAGAGCGGGGCTCGTTTTTCAGTCCTGGGCAATGTTGATCACACAATATGTTGCTTATGGCCACAAAGCAGAGGCCATTACGGACCGGTGATTATATAAGTGGTTGGAAGGCAGCACCATTTTAATATACCGTACTTAAGCACCAGGGTATCCATGGCAACTTGCACTTTCACCATGCATTCAGAAATCCCTAATGAAATGCCTATTAAGGGGATGATAATGACAGTGTCCAAATATATTTGCATATGTGTTTCAGAGGGGAGGAAAAAAAGAGCAGTTATTGAAGACAGAGTGGTCCCTGAACACTGTAATCATGCTGATAAACACTGTATGGTGATTTTGTTCCATTTGCTCTTATTTTAAATATGAAAAAAACTAAGTTTACTATAAAAATAATGAAAAAGTTACAATCAATTATTGAGGGTGTGAGTTGAAGCTCTGTTGCCTTCCACATGTGACTTTCATTTGCAACTTTTGGCTGAGCTCCCAACAGGACATCCCTGAGAGAGTGTTTGCTTGACTCAACACCAACAGCCCAGCTGAGGAGTGTGTGTGTGTGTGTGTGTGTGTGTGTGTGTGTGTGTGTGTGTGTGTGTGTGTGGTGGGGGGTGAAGGGAGGACGCACACTGGCCCAGCTCAGCCTCAAGTTCCTATTGAAAATAAACGATTCCGTACCGGGCTCTGAAACATCAACACATACTGGAAGGAGCCGAGTACAGCGCTCTGCGGCATTCCACTGGTGCCTCTCCAAGGCTTTAATGATACCTGCACCTCCCCTCCAGCTGCTTCTGCCTGACGCCGACGCTCCACACGGGCGGCAGGTGGGCAGCAAATTAAAGTATACATTACAGCAGAAAAATAAAAGCAGTTGAATTGACAGAAGTCAGGCGGTTCAAGCTGACCCAGCCTCTTGAAGCGAAGGAGCTGGTAGACTAGCRACAGACACTTCAGGTTAAATTGGCACTCCCCTGCTGTCTCTTATTTCCCCCCAACACCACAGCTGCCCTCAATGCACAGCCCCTTTCCTAAAAAACTATTAAAAAAAGATGCCGTTCTTCAAAAGCATATTTGAATCAAACAAGTTGCACAAAATAAACATTTAACTCAGATGAATGTTACTTTAGAGCAGATTGGAGAACTTTTCTTTCCCCACAGTAGCTGTTTTTTTTTTTTGTAAAGACAACCGCAGTTAATTAAATTCCAAAGGAAAGTACACATGACTTGTGTATCCCCCCCTCCCCCCTGCATGTCCCAGGCCTCTAAGATGTCATAATGATGAAAAGGCATCTAAAAACAAGGAGGTTCAATAGTCATTTCATGCTTTTAGAGTTCCTGTTGTGGGTGAATCTGAAACCCATTTATGACAGTGATCTGCAGCGTCTGAGCATCCCACAGCTCTGGCTCTGCCAAAGAGATTATCCCTCCCAGAACCGCAGCTACACAGCTGAATGGCAGGCAGACATGCTCCACTGGCAGTCAAAAGAGCACAACACCTGTATTCGCCATGCAACAACTGCTACCTAACATCCAAAGAATCCTGCTGATGTATTTACAAGAAGTAATGAAAAATACATTCACGCCGCTTAAAAAAAACACACCATGAACCAGATGATAAGGAATGTTTGGGGAATAATCTCTAAAAGCTGTTTAGACACTGAAACCTCTGGATATCCTAACCACTTAATTACCCCACCCTGTGGGTATAGAACTAAACACTACTTAACTACAATTTCACCAAAAAAAAAGAGAAAAAAAAAAGAATTTATTCAGGAAAATGGCATTCCAGAAAAGAATAATAAACTCATTATAAAGAAAATCCAAACTCTCATATTCCCCACACCGGGGCTAATTCAAAACTAATTTTTACTAGCCACTAATTTGAGGGCGAAGGGTGCGGGATAGGAATTACATCTGGAGGTAATTGAATGAGTGGAACTGAGCCCAAGGGAGACTGAGACCCCCCGCCTCCCCCCCACCAACACACACACACACGCAGGAGCAAGACAGACAAGACATAGAGGAGAAACTATTTAGGTGAGTGGGACTTCCTGAGCAGTGAAACGACAGTTTCCACAAAAATGTTTTCATTGTGCTGTCACCAGACACCGGCTGGAGAGGATATAGTGTAGGTGCTGCAGGCACAGTCAGGGAGACGGACAGACACGCTGATAAATGAGAGAGGGAGTGAGACTTTTAGGAAATGTGAGACTCGAGATAAGGTGCAGGCTTCTCCAGACAGCTGCACGGGTTCAGGATTGAGTAAATATCCAAATATACGCAGTTAAAAGGTTGTGTGTTAATTTTGGCTCCACGGTCGGGCCTGCTGTGAAGGCTCAAGAGTTTATGAGGAAGTCTTCGTCTCAAGTGACCAGCTACATATGGTCCGCCTAATAAATGGCACAATTTATCACTGAGCTGCAGTTTTCAAAGCGCTGAGTAAAGCGTACCCAGCTGTGGCAATTTCACTGGATTCAAACTTTACGACTTTATGCAAAAAAAAAAAAAAGTACAAACATTATTTCCAGAAAAATCATCTAAATATGATGAAATCTTCATGTGTGGATCATGTGAGAGGAGGTTTTTTATTTATTTATTTTTTTCATTTTGTAAAAGACTTCTTTCAGCAGGCTCAAAGTTGAGGTTAGTGTTCCGCTATGGGTCGTGAAATATCAGATTTGGGGTCCTGGGATGATTTCTAAAAACCAAATTAAATAATTAGTCATTGCCACATTTTTTTACAAAAGTTAAAACATGTTGCAATAAGTGAATAAAAATAATCTGATAGTGGTCACTTCAATATAACTGAAATGTTTGCAAACTTTAAACAAAGACGAGTTTTTGCTTTTCCTATTTTCAGAAGCTGAAACTTTTGGTGAACCTTTTTGTTTCCATCAGAGGTTTGCAACTTGTGGATCGTTGTAGATGTGACCAAAACTTAAATAACATTTCATCAAATAATACAAGAATAATCTATTGATCAGTTTGTGCTAGTAGTGTGTTAGCCACTTTCTTTATCTCAACTTTTTTCAACACACAAAGCAAAATGTAAAGACACAACAAAAGAAAGGGTTTTGCAAACATATTATAAACTACCACATAGTAGAGATATCTGAAATGAAGCGTTTGACAAAAATATGGTAAGTCAGAGTGGCAACAAATACAATAAACAAATGTTTGCTGGTGATAAAAACAAACTTTATATGCAGTGGTGGGCACCAGCCCGCTAAAGTGCAAATCCGCTAACTGCGGATCTAAATATTTCATTTGCACTTTAGCGGTTTTACTAATTTTTATAACTCATAAGTGGATTTGTGCTTTCTAAAATTAAAATGCAGTACTGCAAATAACTAATTATCTACCAGTCATCATTATCTTGAACAGCAGAAGGTACGGCTGTCAATGAAACACAACACATGTGATCTATCCAACAGCACCCCTCGCAGATAAACACACGTATTGGAAATGTATACATCCTTGCTGACTGTTGCTTTCGGTCACGGTTCTCTTTTTACAGACATTTCCCACAATGCTTTGCATCTGTAACAGGAAGGCAATGGTTAGAACTATGTGACCGGACTACACTCCCTGTCCCAGCTAAAACAGTTAACGTTTGTAATCCATACTAAAATTTTGTATGTATTGATTT